ATGAATAAATTATTTCATTCTTGTAATCTGTCCCATCTTTTATATTCTGAGTTATTTCATAATCAAGAGAATTTTTACACTCATCTATTACAGCTCTCATTTATGTCCATTCCAAGATCACATGGAATGAGGGAAAACTCTCCAATAGTATTTCAATGTTTGCTTGCTGGTTTGTGATCTTTAACGACCTCAATACCCACATGTGTTTTCATTTTCCAAAAAATTGTGGCAAAAATTAGATCCCCTTGGGGGTGTCTTCTTTCCAAAAAGGAGTCATTTTTGGGGTGGTTGTACTGTCCTAGCATTTTTATTTGCATTTATTTTTAATTATTATCATTATTATACAGGATTTATATAGCACCAACAATTTGCACAGAGCTTTACAATATAAGGAAGACATTACAGCTACAATGCAAGCACGACAAGATGGTAAGGAGAAAGTAAGCCAAACAAGGTTTTTCCATTATATAATTTTTTTTAAAACAGTTGTTTTTAAATACCATCAAAATAAACCCTATATCTGTCTCAAAAAAAAGATATCAAATTAATTTGTATACACTATTACAAGAACAATGATTAATTGTCAGTTAAACTATCACAGCACTGAAAACTGACAAATGGCCTGGAAAGTAAGGGGGTGTAACATGGTACAGTATTTTGTTTGTTTTACCTTCTCCAGTAATGGATCATGTCCATCGCTGTACTTCCTGTGGTTCTCTATGTATAGCACAGCATCATGAACACTTAAGAAGAAGATGTCTGGCTTAATTTGGTCATCAAAAAATAAACATTCTTCCATTTTTTTGTAAACGTGATCTGCAAAAGTTAAAGACGAAGGAAGACTCATTAATTATGGGCTTTTTCTCTACACCCAGCATATCAAATGAGTCCAAAGGTGGTTCACAGAGGCGTCACATTAGAAAATGTAATACAGTGCTTACCATCGCATGCTGCAATATAGACATCTACATCAATCCTCTTGAATTCTTTGTATATCTGAAAAGTCAGAAGTATAGTAGTGACAAAGTATTCATAGTAATATTATTAATAAAAATAATGAATATAAATGTTTTTGTTGTTGGATTTTTTTAATCTTTCATGGTTTCGAACGTGAATGTAATGTTTTATGAATGAAAGTTTGCCTAGGTATCTGGAGGTCTAAATCGAGGCTACACACATCTTGTGTGGGGAAACACAACCGGTGGACCCCTGAATAATGGTAATACAGCTAGTGCTACAGTAAAGTAGAACTAGAGGCTAGGCCTTTTTTTAATCTTATTGCATTCTCTGCATTCAGGTAAAAAATACCCAGTACCTTTCGCCCCCCTCCCCCGCGCACTTACCTGTGAACCAGTGGTGTATTCTGGTTTGGGGCTGCCCTAGGCAAGACAAAACTCGGGCGCCCCCACTAAATTTACCCCACCGCTTCCTGTTTAATATTGTTTGCGTAAACTGTCGGTCGCTGGAATACAGCGACTGACAGGAAAGCTTTGGTGTCAGGGGGGCTGTGCAGGATCTGTGGTGTGATCTGCAGGGTCTCAGGGGGGCTTTGCAGGATCTGTAATGGGCTCTGCCCACCATAGACCCCGCAGAGCCCACCAAAGATCCTGCAAAGCCCCCCACAGATCCTGCACAGACTCCCTGAGACGCTGCAGTATATCAGGGGGGCTGTGCAGGATCTGTGGTGGGCTGTGCAGACTGCAGAGCCCCCTACAGATCCTGCAAAGCCCCCCACAGATCCTGCAAAGCCCCCCACAGATCCTGCAGAGACCCCCTGAGACCCTGCAGTATCTTAGTGGGCTGTGTAGGATCTGTGGTGGGCTTTGCAGGCTGCAGAGCCCTTTACGGATCCTGCAAAGCCCCCCACAGATCCTACACAGACCCCCTGAGACCCTGCAGTCAGGATCCGTAGGGGGCTCTGCAGCCTGTAAAGCCCACCGCAGATCCTGCAGAGACCCCCACAGATCCTGCAGAGCCCACCAAAGGGTATTGCACAGCCCACCTGCGACTCTTTGTTGTGCTGTGCAGAATCTATGCTGGGCCCTGCCAACACAGTCCTCTTACCTGGCACAGGAAACCCAGCCTCCTCCGCTGCCTCCGCACCCAATCATCACATTTTCGCCCAACTGGAGCTCCGGCGACGCCTCCCGCCTCCTCCATCGCCATCTCTGCCCCTACATCCTCCAATGCCGTCTTTGCCCCCCGCCTCCTCCTTCTTCACCCCAGCTCTTCCATCTCCGCCCCATCTTTTGTCTCCACCCCCTGCCTCCTGCCGCTCCGGCCCCTGTCTCCCCCTGCTCCCCCACCCGCCGCTTCCTCCCCGTTCCCATTAGGCAGCCAGGCTGCCGGTTTCTGTGCAGCCCAGCTGCCTAAATGTTTTGGTGGGGCGGCATTTTTGCCGCCCACCTGGAATCTGCCACCCGAGGCAAACGCCTTGTTTGCCTCGTGGTAGACACGCCCCTGCTGTGAATACTAGTAACCACCGCCAGGTCTGTAAAGCTATCCTCCATTTCCTGAACTTCCTGGCTGTGGGGGAGGGTACTGAGGGTAGAGTAGCCATAGGCTCCTTGTGCTATCAGTCAATCTGTTGAGAGGAGGGGAGGGGGATGGCCTGCTGCATAGCCAGCTAGCTAATGGGGGCACCGGTGGGCCGTTTGGGGACTAACTAGAGCCGTTTGGGGACTAACTAGAGAATGAGGAAATACAACATTTTAAACAACAAAAACAGAGGATTTATATAAGTGTGTGCCTTCCATTTATAAAAATAGAAAAAAAAACCTGAAGGTTTAATATCACTTTAAAACTAGTGCTACACTAATATATTGTGCTTTGCCTATATAAAAATGAGCTATTATGCCCTGCCCATAAAAGGAACAGGGCACTGATTTGATCCTATTACCCCCCTGCAGTCAGCACTTGGCAATGAGCCTGGGTAATGCAACAGCCAGCTGCATTTTCTACTCATGTATACTTTTCTCTATGATTACACTCAGCGAAACATGTCAGAGAGGAAGGCCAGGTGGACTGTCCACATACCAGGATTGCATTTACCACACTACATAACTGCAGGATTGTGGCTATTTTCTTTTATGTGTACCATATCATACATTTCTTTTCTGTGTAACATCACATTTTCACCTCTAGGACTTCTCAAAAAAGTGGAAAACATCTTTGTGATGAAACTGATAAATAATCAGTGATAAAATACTACCTAATATGTATTACTAAAACAAACCAGATATAAAATGTAGACAAATATGGTATCAGATTCCTTACCACTTTCAGAGATCTTACAGCCACCACATCAACGAAAGAAATCTGGCCAAAGTCAAAAATAAGGCTGTGTATAGAAACTTTTGGGACATTGACTTTCACAGGTAGTTCTGAACTCCAGTCAACTTGGACCTCAACTTCTTTCAATTGTATTCCCCCATTCTGTTCTGATTCAGGCTCTTCCAGCTCATCATCTGGCTCAAATGCATTATTATCAGTACCAGCATCACTGATGATACCATTCTATAAAAAAACATTTTAGTTAAAAGGGAACCACAGCCATTCAGCTACATACAAAGTTGAAATACACACATGTGAACTGTTTTATGTGTCAAAATGTTTGTTATACTGACACTCTTTGCTATACAGCCACCCCTGTGATTGACACCACGTGCCGCACTGCATACGTAGAGTGGATGACACACACACTGGCGGAACTACCAGGGTCGCAGCGGTCGCAATTGAGACCGGTCCCTGGCGTTCCACCACTTGGGGGGGGGCCCAGCGAGGAAGAAGAGGGCCCCCCGAGATTGTGCCGCTCCTTCCTTGCTGCACAGCCACCCGCAGCATGTACGGGCGGCTGTGCGGTGGGGATGGAGAGGCTGTCACTGGTCCCGCAGAATGTGCTGCAGGCACGGCCTGGCAGCACATCTAAGTCTGTGTGTGTGTGGGGGGGGATGCTGGTGATATAGTGCTCACTTTTATTATAATGTATTGCTGGGACTTGTAGTCCCGCATAGCTGGTGGTATTGCGCATTTCTGTATGATGATTATACAGCAATGCAGAATAGCTCCAACTATGTAGGACTACAAGTCCCAGCAATGCATTATATTTTTAAGTAGGGAAACCCCAGTGTTATTTCTGGGCATTTTCACGAGCACTCATACTCGTGAAAATGCCCCGATACTAAACGCAGATACCGGTGTTCTGTCGAGAACGCCGACGTCTTCGAATTTGCCGACCTCAGCATCTGCGCTTGTGCACAGACCAGTATTATCGAGGAAACAGGTATTTATTGACAAAGTATTTTGTTTAAATTGTTAATTGTGACCGTTAATATTATTCGATCCATTATTCCCTGCCATGGATGGTATATTATTTACGGTCACAATTAACAATTACAAATGAATACTTTGTAAATAAATGCCAGTTTCCTCGTTAATCCCGGCTGCTTGAGGTCCCGCGCTTGCTGGGGACCTCGGCAGCCTTCCTGTTAACTATGCGGTGCCATGGCGGTTGGGGGGGGCCTTCATGGTTTCTTGCACCGGGGCCCTGAAGGTTCTAGTTACGCCTCTGGACACACATGTTCAATACTGAATCACTACAGTTTAATATGGCATTTTCCTGAACGTCAGGCTATTCATGAACATAAATACACTGCAAGGTCCTCTTTGTTCCCTTCGTCTTGATGACTTACCAGCCTAAACACATGCCTTTCCAGCTTCAATGTATGAAAATAAGGTATATTGTTAGCAATATGCAAACCAACACTGTCTTATTACACTGTTGCAGTGTGTAACCTCCCACTTTCAGTCTGATTTCTAATATTCAGACAGGGGATTGCATGAAGATAATACAGTATAAACAAGCATGTCTCTTATGTCTGTTTTATGTTTCTGTAATAGCACGCAGATTAGTAGAGGGATCATTAGTATTCTGAGCCAATGACTCTATTGCTTTGCTCAGTGCGGTCGGACTAACACTTTAAACATGTCTACATGTTCTGCTGCTCTCTTTAATGTCCATTAAGCAGACTGAGAAAGAAGATATGACCAAGGGAGATGTATTTCAACAGCCATTTAGTCATATAGTCTCTCAGCACATGCTGTTACTATTAGTTCAGGGGCAGAAGGGTATCAAGTGTTCTTAATTTTTAGTTAATGGTTCTGCTTTATGCTGGGCACACACCTTACAACCATCGCAAGACTTGCGATGGTTGTAAGGTAATTTAAAAAACGCACGATCTACCTATCTTGGACAGGCAGATTGTACTTGCGATGATTGGAAACCCGCCCCGCTGAGGGGCGGGCTTCCGATGACCGCAATGCTGAACGGGCAGTGTGCGCTTGCGCACACTGGCCCGTCCGGCTTTTATCTTACCAACATGCTACACACCCGCCGAAAATCATACGATTCTGGGCGGGTTTTCGAACATGTTCCTAAGACAAAAGCCTTACAGTAGCAGAGCTCGCACGGCTCCCACACACCTTGCGATAATCGCACGATGGCGGGATTTCCCACAATTATCGTACGATTATCGTAAGGTGTGTGGGCACCTTTACTTTCCTTCCAGGCTCCCAGCTATTATTTGGTAGTAATACCAAATAATATAATACTGACTGACACAAACATGATTTTAAATACTACAAGTCCCATAAGTAAATCATACTTGTAAATGTAGTGTTGAATATAACATTGAGAACAATATAAGAACAAACAGGCATGCAACAATTATGGCTCTTGTGCTACAGATATCATGTTAGGAAACTCTGAAATTTTTCATACTGAAGGAAGTTAGCACAGCCACAGGGTGTTTGTCACACAGTGATGGTAAATAGGTGTTTGTTTAAAGCAGAACTCTGGCCAGAATTTTTCTTAACCCTTGAAGTGGGGCCACCCCTGCACTTCAAGGGTTAAGTGTTTGTTTTTGTCTAGGTGCTAAAAACAAAATTATACTCACCCGATCATAGGAGCCGGCTTGCTCCTAGACAGGTCCTGGCAGCCACGCTCCCCCTCCGCCGGACAGGTCTAAGGTCTCATCAATCATCACGTTCTATATCTATATCAGTCTATAGAAGTGAAAACACTGAGAAATATTCCAATCCTGCAGTGTAGGAGGAGACAGGCTTCAGTGACTGGAGAAGCAGAAAGCCATCTTGGCGGTTTAGGTGAGTATAACCTAGACAAAAATGATCACTTAACCCATGCAGTGTGGGGGTAGCCCCACTGCAAGGGTTAAGAACACATTTGCCTGGAGTTCTTCTTTAATAAAAGGAACATTAATTAATTTGTATTTACCTTTGTTGCTCTTAGCTGTCCTTTCTTGATAAGTTGGTTAATCTGCCGCAGAGCTTTGGTCCTTTTGGTAAAAACTCTGACACAGTCAAATCCAACCTTTGATGAAACCATACAAAGTATGTTTGTTGATTACAGATTTATTTCTACAAGTATTTTATGTTGATTAAATTCACATAAGCATTTTAAAGAAAAATATACTCACAATTTTCTTGATGCCATTTTTGAAACCGTCAATATTCCCATAGAAGATACCACTAGCAAATCGAACAATTTTAATCCCTTCTGGTTCAACGGCCTGTAGTGAAATGAAAATAGAGTGGTGAATTATGGTGAAATATATGGAGTATATTGGGTTCCCAAGCATTATTTATTGGGTTCCTAAGTATTTTTTCTCTGTTTGCTACTATTCTCGGTCCACATAAAGAACCTAACAGAATGAACAACATGCCTACAAATCTGGGGGTCAAAAAAATGTGACACTTGATGAACCCCAGCTGTGCACACAACCTACAATCTCTAGTGTGATAGAGGGCAATAATGAAAATCTCCCTTAAAGGATATTTAAACCCTCAGGGTTTTTTGCATATATCTACTACTAGCAAGCAGTAGATTTATGCAAAAACATTTAAAAAAGTTACTAAAAAGGTTCAAACTTACCTGTGTCTCTGCCGCGCACTCCCGTCTGAAGATCTGAAAAATCTTGGGCGGCCGCAAAGGATCATGGGGCAGGCGCATGCGCAGTACAGATCTTTGGACAGGAGACGAGGAGAGACACAAGGTAAGTCAATGCAGCGGCGTGCACCCACACAGACTCTGTGGGACAGGAAGTGCCAGGAACAGAGAAGAGTCAGCGCTGGATCGGAGACCGGCACCAGCGCTGGAGGGACTCCTGAAAACTACAGGAAAGAAGAAGGTGATCGGATCAAGAGGTATCATTTAAGGTAAGTCCTTACGCCAGGATGGGGGG